CTCATGTCATTAGGCCCTTAAAGAGGAAAAGACTGGCTATTCTAAACTCGGCTTGCCTCAATCTTCTCTTAACTCATTTTGTTTTGTAATTGGTCAGCTAGTACATCTGATGTCTCAGGCTTGTATCTGTGAAAAATTTGCAAGTAATTGAGATACAAGGTTGAGGGAACACACACTTGCCTCAATGTGTGATTAGACCCTCAAGATCATGAATGTCAGAGGATCTCTCCAGATTTTGATGTTTTATGAATGCTCAAGAATTTGATGTTTCTCTTGTAAGCAGGAATGCACACATAAGTGAAGGAGGTGCTAGCTAAAGGTGAGCCTGGGGCTTCGAAGTGCTGAACTTTTGTCACAAGTGCCTGATTGCTGACCAATATGATGCTGGCAAGGAAATGTATTCTGCATGTGTCCAGAAACAATTTTCTTTATTTCTCATTCATCATACACTCTACCCATGCATGGACACACACATGTAGCCACAAACACTTGGCCAGTGAATGCATACTTTTGTTTCTTTCACACTCTTATCTAAACCTCTTGAATTGTCTTATCTTCTCCACTCTCATGTAACACTGTGCGCTAAGTCACTATTTCTCCATATTTTGTAGATGGGAAACAGGCTGATAGAAAATAACTTCTTGCATTGAACCTGTGCCATCCAGACATTTCCATTTACTTATTTACAATATTTTAACCTTGTCCTGGGGTTTAAATATTGCCAGAGTGGCTCAAGGTTAACACATATTAAAGCAACATCACAAAATAATTTTAAGCAGCAGCTACAACAGGACAAAAATAAACAACTGAAGCAGTGACATTTAAAACTCCAGATGTGCAAATAGATACCTGACTACAGGAATTTACCAGGCACAAAGAAGACATCAAAGTTGGTACTAGGTGAGTCTCCTTGGAGTCACCACCATGAAGGTCCTTATCACTAATCCTGAAGGTTACTGAAATTCAAGAAATATTCAAGAAAGTTTGTGTGAGGAAAGGAAGGCTGAGCATATAGAGGTTTAAAGGTAAGAACCAGCTTTTTGAAATGTACTTACAACTGATCCAGGAACACTTGGTTTAATACTGGGCCTGTTCAGGGCCAGCTCTGCTGTTAGGTAGAGAGAGGCAGCTGGCTCAAGCAAAAGATTTGAGGTGTTATTAAAGAGTCGCAAATAAACAGGATGCTTGTGGGTTTTTCTGGTGCATGTCCCAAACTTAATTGCCTGGAATGAGGTACCTTGACTTTGGTAGGTAGCTCTAATTTGCTGATTTGTCTTAGGCAGCAAAATACTTTTGGCCATCCTTGGTTTCTATTTGCTCAATTTTGCTCAAGAATCAAACTGCTATATGTTCTACTTAGTCAGGTTTTGAAACAGTTTCCAAGGGGAAATTGTTAAATAGTAGCCAAACTAAGATGGTGGATTACTGAGGTCAAGCTGCCTATAGTGGTGCCTCGACTTACAACCATCTTGACTTGCAACCAATTTGAGTTACAACCAGCTCCGGTAGCAACATTTTTGCTTTGACTTGCAACCGGCACTTTGAGATACAACCGGAAAAAAGCCCTCTTTTCTTCATTGTTCCCTTCTTCCTTTCCTGACCTTTTTTTTAACCTTAAAGGTCATCTTAGGTTAAAAAAAGTCTCCCCCTAGAGGACGGATTAACCACTTTTGAATTCATTCCTATGGGAACTAATGATCTGAGATACAACCAGCACTTGAGATAAAACCAATAAACGACCAGAACGGATTAATCACTTTTCAATGTATTCCTATGGGAAATTGTGCTTTGAGTTATGACCAACTCGAGTTACAACCATCATCCGGAATGAATTAATTTCGTAACTCAAGGCACTACTGTATTTGTGTGCGTGTTCTGTGACATCAAGTCAGAACTGACTTATAGTGACCAAAATATGGCTTTCAATGTAAGCAAGATGTTGAAGGAGTGGTTTACCAGTTCCATTTCCCCAGTGAGTTTCCATGGCTGAGCGGGGATTTGCACCCTATTCTCCAGGGTCCTAGTCCGTCACTCTGTCCAGTACACCACACTGGGAAACCCTGCCTATACGTAAGCGGTATCAAAACTTAAGCTACAATAGCTCCAAAGACGCTTTGATGTCAGATAAGAATAGTGTCTTACATAGTTGCTCAGTAGATATGTTTCCTGTGATTTTGAAGGTCAAAAGAAGGATTGTTGCATGTGACCCCAAGGAGAAGTGAATGACAGGTGAACTGCTACCTATTTTGACTCTTTCAGAAAGCACTGTTGGTAGCTACCTTCCTGTTGTTCCCTGAACATGTATTTGCTTACTAAGTAAAAGTAAATGAAAGACTGAGGTGGCAATAACGATAAGCAGGAAATCTGTTTGATCAGTTAGGAGCCAACCTGTGTTGATTCATGCTTTGAAGAAGCCGATTTCAAAGTGCTCACAGGAAATGCCCCAGCAGATAAACTTTGTCCTTCAAGGTTCATCCCAAACACCATTCAGCCTTTTGCACTTTGGTATCTGATTGGACAGTTTTATGATTCTGGGCCCAAATAATACTCTCAATAAAAAATGGTTGTAATAAAACCAAGAACTGACTTGCTTCTCTGGTGATGAATTAATCCTGATAGAAGCTACTGGGCAGCATACTCTCTCTCTCTCTCTCTCTCTCTGTGTGTGTGTGTGTGTATCTGATTGGACAGTTTTATGATTCTGGGCCCAAATAATACTCTCAATAAAAAATGGTTGTAATAAAACCAAGAACTGACTTGCTTCTCTGGTGATGAAATTAATCCTGATAGAAACTACTGGGCAGCATACTCTCTCTCTCTCTCTCTCTCTCTCTCTTTGTGTGTGTGTGCGTGTGTGTGTGCATGCGTGCGTGTGTGTGTGCATGCGTGCGTGTGTGTGTGTTGTGTAGAAGTGGTATAGGGAGGCATTTAAAGAGAATTTATTTAAAGAGCTCTACAAATTTGTGATTCTATGGTACAAGGTGAATTTTAATATGTAAAACTGAGTTCTTTCTTGTCTGTGCTACAGCATGTTAAGGAAAAATGGCATTCTACTTTGAAATAACACCATGCATAAATAAATGGAACAAAAAAGTTGTAAACAATTTTGAAAAATTCTGGGTGCATCAATCAATTAACTGGGCATGTAGCTATTAGAGATTCTAGTATGAGCATTCCAACGCTTGCAGTGTTAAGTATACTTACTTGAAGCAAGCTTCAATGACAGTGAGACTTACTTCTGCATGAACATACTTAGGATTACACCAGCCTTACCAAGCTTGGTGTGATTCAAGTACACATCAGGATATTCCCAGTCATCATAGCCAAATGGCCATGCTAGGTAGGGATTGTGGCATGTGCAGCCTTGCACATCTGGAGGACACCAGCTTGGGGAAGTCTGGATTGCAGTGCATGTAGACTTTGTGAAAGTCTAGCTACAAATTATAGGTCTGGTAAGGAAAGCAAGATGAATTCCTAGAGGAAATTCACTCTTGGTGGCAACTTTGTTGTTGTTTAGTCCTTATGTTGTGTCCAACTCTTCGTGACTCCATGGACCAGAGCACACCAGGCCCTCCTGTCTTCCACTGCCTCCCGGAGTTGGGCCAAATTCATGTTGGTAGCTTCGATGACACTGTCCAACCATCTCATCCTCTGTCATCCCCTTCTCCTCCTGCCTTCACAGTTTCCCAACACCAGGGTCCCTTCCAGGGATTCTTCTCCTCTTATGAGATAGCCAAAGTATTGGAGCCACAGCTTCAGGATCTGTCCTTCCAGTGAGCACTCAGGGTTGATTTCCTTTAGAACAGGTAGGTTTGATCTCCTTGCAATCCAGGGGACTCTTGAGAGTCTCCTCCAGCACCACAATTCAAAAGCATCAATTCTTTGGTGGTCAGTCTTCTTTATGGTCCAGCTCTCACTTCCATACATTGCCACTGGGAAAACCATAGCTTTGACTATGCGGACCTTTGTCGGCAAGGGGATGTCTCTGCTTTTTAAGAAGTTGTCTAGGTTTGTCATCGCTTTCCTCCCAAGAAGCAGGCGTCTTTTAATTTTGTGGCTGCTGTCACCATGTGCAGTGATCATGGAGCCCAAGAAAGTAAAATCTGTCACTGCCTCCATATCTTCCCCTTCTATTTGCCCGGAGGGGATGGGACCAGTGGCCATGATCTTAGTTTTTTTGATGTTGAGCTTCAGACCATTTTTGTGCTCTCCTCTTTCACCCTCATTACAAGGTTCTTTAATTCCTCCTCACTTTCTGCCATCAGAGTGGGGTCATCTGCATATCTGAGGTTGTTGATATTTCTTCTATCAATCTTAATTCTGGCTTGGGATTCATCCAGTCCAGACTTTCACAAGATGTGTTCTGCATATAGTTAAATATACAGCCTTGTGGTACTCTTTTCCCAATTTTGAACCAATACTCCTTTCTTCAATTTTGAATCAGTTGTTCCATATCCAGTTCTAATTGTTGCTTCCTGTTCCACATATAGATTTCTCAGGAGATAGATAAGGTGGTCAGGCACTCCCATTTCTTTAAGAACTTGCCACAGTTTGCTGTGGTCCACACAGTCAAAGGCTTTTGCATAGTCAATGAAGCAGAAGTAGATGATTTTCTGGAACTCTCTGTCTTTCTCCATAATCCAGCATATGTTAGCAATTTTGTCTCTAGTTCCTCTGCCCCTTCGGCAGCTACATTTTTGTATATATAAGTCAATGGCTGAAATCCAGTAATAAATGACAACTAGAGTAAGCTCACTGCATCAATGGGGATTTGGTCAGTCAGCTCCTCTGCATGTTTTATTGACTCAATGGACCTACTGTAGTTGTGATTTACTTCTGGATTTCAACCTATTAGGAGTTGACAGGTCAGCAGCATCTTGTTCTTTGAGATTTCAGGCCAAAACCTGAGACCAGGAGGCAGGTCTTTGTGATGTCACAGAGGCAGAGCAGGCAAAGGTTGGGAGTGAAGCAAGCACATCATACATTCAGACACTGTTGTGCTGAACCAATGGCTCTGGCACCAGCTGGCAGTGGGTGAATATGGGTGCCCACGCATTACAAACAACTCACATGCAAAATCCAGACTTTCTCCGCCTCAAGTGACACTTGTTCTGAAATTCTTCTCATTTCCTAGAGACTTAGAAAAGCCTAGCAATCCCCTGAGACTTCCGCTGGTACCTCAAAATCTAGTAAGCCTCCTATGCATGCAAATGCAGCATTTTGCCCCTTAGCAAGCACTGGTGCTGATCAGATGGAAAAACTAACAGAAATAGGCACATTCTTTATCGTAGGGTGCTGCCCATGTCTACTGGAAGAATTCCTGATCACTCTCCCAGGAAGGCCTCCCTCCCTTTAGAAGGAATTAGGTTTCTTTCAAGGCCTCACATAGGACTTTCCCACGCTCACAGCCCTTTGCAAGTTAGAAGTGCGTGGGAGCCCAGCAGTTTCGATCAAGTCAGGTAGGCTGAGTTTCTGCTTGTTGGACTACATACCTTTGAGCTCTATCAGCAGGCAGTGAACAGTAGAATTCCTAGCATTTTTGTCATAGCCTCAGAAGCAGAACAAATGCCAGTGACCTGTTGTCCTGCTAGGACTTCTGCCCTTACCTTTTATTTTTGAGTCAAAGGTTAGCCCTATTTATGCAAATCCTCTGCAATGTGCCCAAAGTAATCTGACCTTCTGGATTTCATTCTCTTAACAGTTTCAGATATTCTGCTTCTTACAGAAACAAGGATGAAGTTTTGAGTAGTTATATTTCGTCCAAAAAGATACCCCCTCTCCCTGTAGGTCAGTAGCTTTGAAGAATATCAATAGCTTTCAATACTTACCTAATTTGCAAAGTAGAAATGTCAATGATTGGATGGTGCTGCTGTGTAGCTGTTGACACAGTAGCAAATGGGTGTTTCTGGTTTATTTTCTTACAACATGTGCTTCTGAAGCCTGCGTGTGCCCTGGGGAGTCAGGAACACTACTTTTCTCGAAGGTATACTCTTCTAAGTAGATGTGTGCCAAGGCAAATGATCCATGTTATTCCTGCTTGACATTAATTCCTATTAATTTCAATGGTTGGAGTCCTTGGTTTTCACATTTTATGCAGTTAAGATTCTTAAACCCTATGAACTTGAACTTAAAATTATTATATTGCAAATCCTTCTTTTTGCCTTTTGTTTCCCTTCATGCACTTGGATTTTCCAACACACCTTCTGCAGAATGTTTTCACAGTTACAGTGGTTCCCCTTATCATCTTTTTCCCATAAGCCTTTTCCCAATATACAAATCATGAAGAAAGAAGCTTTGATTTTCATAGTGGAATATAACAAAGGTCATTTTCAATGACATATCTGAGAGGTCAGTGGCTGGCAGCCAGCTTCCACAGACCACTTTACCTTATAGATTTGCAGTCATGTTACTGGCTGGTGTTGTGTCCCGCTTACCAAGAACTGTGGCTGTAGTGGAAAAAGCAGTGTCAAAACATATCAATGTTTCCTTCAGGTTGACAAATTGTCCTCAGATGTGCAATTTCAAGCCTCAGCGCTTCTCCTAAACCTTGCACCATCCTACCCTCTATAAGATCCTTGCACGACACTGTTGTGTCATGTAGAGGTTTGCTACATCCAGCAAGTTGTGATCAAGCCTTCTTGTGAGTGCAAGAGAATGAAATAGCAGGACCCTCCGAGAAAGCAGTGATTGAAAGGATCTTGCTGTTTCTTCCAAAATCTCATATAGAGAATTGATGAGAGGAGAACCTGTAAGCTCCTTCTATACCTTTGACCCTTTGCTAATTAACCTGACAGTGTTTGTAATTATTATCTGGATCAACTTATGAATATGATCAGTTTTTAATGCTCATGTGTATTACAGTCTGAGTCCCATTTTCCCCAGCAGTTTTTCCTAGGCTTGGAATAGTTAGATAAACTCTGTGTGTGCAGACAAAGCACCCAAAGACCCCTGATTTTGTTAACACTTTTCTCTTACGAAACATTGATTATTGCAACTTGTGATCAGACCATCTGGCTAACATTGATACTTTGTTTTTTGTTTTGATACTCCTCTTGTTTAAGGAGTATCCTCTGTCATCAGGGATATGTGTTCCTGATTATTTTTTACATACACTATATTTAGCAGTTGTCTGAACCTCGATGTAAAGTATTGATTTGTTTCCATTGCAAAGTTGTGTGGGGAGTAGTTTGAATTTCCAAATTGCTCTCCACTATTGGGTAGATGCAGGCCAAGGCTGATTGAACTATGCTAGAAATGCCAAGGTGCAATGAGAGAAGATTTGATCGATTCAGTCTGCGTAGAAGTATTGGGATGCATACACCAGAGCTACAGGCCAGGAAAAAAGGTGAACATTTTCTAGACTCTTGCCTACATGGCTCATAAATATTACTTCCATTTCAAACTGAGCCAAGGAGAGTTTGCCATTCCCATATTTTACACCAGAATTCAAATGTCATTAATTTAAAGAGAATAATTTTAAAGCAATGGTGAGCATTTAAATGTTGGTCTCCAAATCCTGCCACAACCCATCAGCACAGCCAGTGATCAGAGAGGGCAAGAGCTGCAGTTCAGCAACATCTGGAAGGCCACAGGCTCCTAACTCCTGTTCCTGAGTAAGCATTTCCTTGAGCTGCAGTACTAAGGCATCTACTCAGAATTAAGTTGCACAGAAACCAATAAGATTTACTTCTGAATAAATTAATCTAGAATTGGGGCATTTTAACATAATCCTAAACACATGTACAGAGCAGCAATGGAGACTTGTTCATTAGGTGAACTGGAGCGCTGTCCGATTACAGATTTAGGTTACCCCTAGCCAGCGCACTACAGCCTTCGTATTTACCAGAGACAGAAGGAGAAAAAGAATACCTTTCTCTGTGTGCTTAAGCATAACTACATTTGTCTCTTCCACTGCCTCTGCCTCTGCCTCTACCTACCTACCTACCTACCTACCTACCTACCTACCTACCTACCTACCTACCTACCTACCTACCTACCTACCTACCTACCTTACATGACAGAGAATATGTGCTTTGGCACATCCAAACCCATTACTTTCCTCCTTCTTTTTATAAAGTTGGTTCTAAAAATGATCTCCCCCACCTAACACCCTGAAGTTTTGTGAATAAAACTGTGCTGCAATATGTCGTGACTAACGTGCCATGAAGCTTTTATTCAAACAGCAGATGAAGTCGGTTCATTTTAGAAAGGAGTAGGAGGCAGAACATTCCGCCAAAGCTGACAGAGCAAGCCTTGCTAAAAATCCAAGGAGCGGATGCTTGAGCCCAACTGCTTTCAGATCTTGGTGTCAAAGGCTGAGGAGGCCATACGGGGGTTTATCAGTTAAGTTACACATTATACAAGGACCTTGTCACATTTTATGACAGGCTGGCAGCATGTGATTGTATGCCACAAAGAGATATCTTGAAAGTGCCAAGGTATCAACGAGCCGTCCCTCCTCCTTGCGGTTATTTTTTATTGATCTCTTTCCAGGTACTGTGATGCAGCAGGCTGCACAGCTCATGGTGGCAGATGTATGCAGAGCTGGTGAGGAAGGAGAAAGAAGAAATCCAAAACGAAATGGTATAAGCTTGAGGAATAAGCTGTACAGTGAGTAAGGATCTTGTTTGTTATCGGCTCTTCTCTGCACCCATTTGCTCTACTATGGCCTCTCTCCATAGTGGAGTTATAGCCACAACTTGTAATGTGGGGCCTATTTCTTAAAATCTATGGAGCAGGGTTGGGAGTAGAGCCAAGGAGGAGATAAAGGAAGTTCAGTGAGGAGAAAATATTGCATTAAAACATACGTGGTTCCACATCTTCTGTTAGCAAGAAACACATTCATAAAGGACAAGGCCTCAAGTTGTGACACAAGTGCACAGGAAGAACTCAAGAGTATATGACTTAACTAGTCGAAAGCATTTTATGTATGAAGGAGACACTGAGTTTCTCATTCAAAGGGCATTCAGAAAACATACAGCAGAGAAAGTATCACACTTAAGGAACTGAGCCAAGAAACAAGGTGGTTGTTTTTTTTTTACCTTTCCTCCTCTTCCTCTGGCTCATGCCAAGCACACGGACAGCACACGGCTGCACTTGGTAAGATGGGCGTATGCTACAAGACACTCGATTTTGTGAGGTCTCTCTGTTGCCATCTCTTCCAGGCAACTTTCTGACCTGTCTCCCAGTTTTTGAGTTCCTCTCCAAATCTCGATCTAAGTCTGCAATGCAATTCAATGCTCTTGCATGCTGCAAAATGCTACATTTGGGAAGTGTTTATCTCTATGTCTCCTGCTGCTACCACTGCACTGTCATCATGTCACTAAAATAAATTGCATAACATTGTCAGACTTATTTTGGATGAAAGCTCCCTGAAGCTCCAGCCACCATGGTCGGTAGTTGTAAACTTAAACACTGAATGCCAACCTGAACATGCTTAAGCAACATCTCTGATTCATTTGAGACCTGGGTCATAACCAGTTGTGGATCATAGCCTGTGGTGGGCAACAATATAATGATGGGTATTGTGCAAGTTGAGTGGCCCCATGTAACTACTCTTTGCAGATCTGATTGAACAGGAATGCCTCTTACAGATATTGATCTTCTCAGCCCCACTAAGCGGACGTTAATCTAGATCTCCCTGCCTCTGCATCCTCCTCGTCTCAGCATGGTCCCTTCTTTAGGACTATTAAAAAATTTGACATCTTCCTACAAGCCATTTTCCCTTGCAAGCTGCCATTGGAGTTGCCTGTGTTTTAAAACAAAGGTGAGCAATGTGTGGCTCTCAGCAGGTGGTAGGACTACAGCTCCTATGAGCCCCAGCCAACTCTGCCAGTGGTATAGGATGATGGGATTTGCAGTGCAACATCATCTGGAGGGCCACAGGTTGCCCATCAACTTCTTTAAAGATATCATGGTGATCTCCTGCAAGCATAGTCACACATCTTTGTGAGAATGGTGTCTGTGCAAAAGCCTGCAAAACAGGGATGGAAGGCACACGTATAATGTAAGCATGTTATTGTATTAAAACAAGCACTTCATGAACACAATTGTGTAGCTGTTGATAGTGGGGAAAAGCACAAGACTTCCTCTGCAGCTCCTTCCAACCTAGTCTCTGTGTTACAACCCACTCATGGCCATTTTGACTGAAGATGATGGGATCTAGAATGTGCTAGGCTGAGGAAAGTTGCTCTGGGCTCTTAATTTGGCAGCATGTGTGTGTCTGTGAGAAAGAGAGAGAGTGGCTTGGAATTCCTGTGGACTGAACTATACAAGATGCCAATTTGCAATTAGAATGTGATCAAATGCTAACTTTCAGACATATATTCATTCAAAGCTGTGATTTTTGCACTAAGGATATGAAGAATATTTTACAAATTCCTTATTCTCATTTATTTAGGCTGTCTCAACATGAAGACACATCTCAAGAAGAACTCTTGAAGCATCATGAAATTTCCATAGCAAGACTGAGGCATGAAGGGAGAATCTGCAAAAAAACTGTTTTTTTTCCCTTTTGAGAAAGATAGTGCATGCATAAACACACACACTCACACAGAGCAAGCACAGGAGGACTAGCTGATTGACCCAATAACCCTTCCCATGCCTCTAATTTTTATAAATGCATGCAACAATCAGTAGCTATCATAATTGTGTGCAATTTCTGGCCAATTTGAGAACTGTAATTGAGAGCCCCAGGAAGTATCTCACACTCCTGCAGGGAGAAAAAAAAATTGCAGTTTTTGATCTTTAGTGTATGGGAATGACACAAAGGTGGATTTACATCCCTCATCTGCAGCATCAATTTGTGAATAAAGCCTGTTGTTTACCTCCTGGTAATTAATCACTAAACAAAACCAAGACAATCTGCAATATGTAGAACTGTGAAAACCCTGTGTTTTTTTTTTAAATATATATATTTTCTTTTAAAGCAAACTCTGCTTCTAATTGCAAAACTGGGGGTCTGACCATCAGAAAGCTGTTTTTGGATTATAACCCTCCAATCCTCATCCTTCTGTAATCGATTCCCATTTCTAGATTTGCAGGGGGAAAGCTTCATTTCAATTACGAACCCTCCAGCTTACATATTTGGTTTGGCTTGGCTATAGACCATTGCTGCTGGTCCAGGCAGGTCTTGCTTCTTGAAGGACTTTCTTTCTCCATCGCTGGTGTGTTCCTTTGCTGTTTTTACATCCGGGGTTCTCTTTGCACAGTCAGTCAGACCTCTCTTGAGAGGCTTAGCTTTATTCCCCTTCTCCTTTCTATTACACCCACATAATTACAACAGCATAAAGAGTGGGCTGGCGAAGCAGCAGCATTTTAAAAAACCACATATTCTGATCTCCAAGCAATCTTTCCCACCTACTTCTTCCCCCATCAGCAGGGGTGTCAGCTGTGTTGCTTCTAAACCTACTCTGAGTCATCTTCTCAGGCAGCTTGTAAATACTTCAGCGTGCCCATGAATGTCAAAGCAAAGTACTTTGTTACAATATGATGGAGGGTCCTCAACTTTTATTCAAACTGACACAACTTTTCTGGAGGCGAGAGGAAGGGTGGTAGTAAGGAGAGCTGGCAACTTTTCAACTGGTCGCTGTAGCTGTTCCCTTAAGTGCCCACTTGATCTGCTGCATTGGAGAGATTATAAACATCTATCTTTGCATCGTGAAACGTTTCACCAACAAATTCCTACAGAGGAATGTCTGAATGATGAAACCAACTAATTGCCTTAGTACTACCTTGTAGTCTTGTTGTTTAGTCATTTAGTCGTGTCCAGCTCTTTGTGACCCCATGGACCAGAGCATGCCAGGCCCCCCTGTCTTCCATTGCCTACCGGAGTTGGGTCAAATTCATGTTGGTTGCTTCAATGACACTGTCCAGCCATCTCGTCCTCTGTCGTCCCCTTCTCCTCTTGCCTTCACACTTTCCCAACATCAGGGTCCTTTCCAGGAAGTCTTTTCTTCTCATGAGATGGCCAAAGTATTGGAGCCTCAGCTTCAGGATCTGTCCTTCCAGTGAGCACTGAGGGTTGATTTCCTTCAAAATGGATAGATTTGTTCTCCTTGCAGTCCAGGGGACTCTCAAGAGTCTCATCCAGCACCACAATTCAAAAGCATCAATTCTTCGCCGGTCAACTTTCTTGTAGCCTAGACCTTGTAGTCTAGAGATAGGGAACACATAGTCCTTGATAAGCCTGCCTCCTCCCATATGTGCCTATCTGGAGTTTGGGTTCCTCTAGCACAAGTCCTACCAATCTGAGAAGTTTGGTTGGCTGGTAAAAGGACATTCTCAATAGAAGTAACCCTGCTATGGAACTCCACCCCAAGAGTAGCTAGGCTGGCTCTATCTATGTGCTGCTTCCATTGGGTAACTAGAACTGCATTGTTCTGAAAAGCCTTTGACCTCTAGGGTTTTTTCTTTTTTTAAGAGGACTGCTAGAGAATGCCTTGGACCTGTTTTTAAATATTTTCAATTTGTTTTAATGTTTTAAATCTGTTTCTAATGCTTTCAATCTGTTTTTAAGACTTTTAGATTGTTCTTAAGTGTTTGAGTCTGTTGTAAATCACTTTGGGAGCCCTGGTGGGATGAACAAGTGCTTTAAATACATGATAATAAGATCCCACCATTTCTCAGTATTTGCTAATAGATTGGACTAATGGGAGCTGAGGTCTAACCTCTGGAGGTTTCCCAATCCCTGTTACTGGCCAAGGTGATGGTGGGGGAAGAGGAAGAACAGAGAATAAGTTGAAGCTCAGGTTTCCCCCCTTTCCTTTGGATTTGGGCTGAATGGATTAGCACATAGGCCATGAAGTCTCAGGCTTCTGCATAGTATTCTTTCCCCTTCTGCCAGCACCATTTACATAAAGGATGCTGAGATGCCTTTCAAGTGCCACAACAAAAATAGTCTGGTGAGCATTCCTTTTAATATACACATCTGACAAGGTTTCTCTGCTGTGCCTTGCTACTATGCTTGCCTGCTGGTTTTGACAGCCCTATAGCTATACCATGTCTGACTGCAGTACAGGTGGCCAGTTGATTTCCATTGGAACTACATGTTGCTAGATGGGCATCAAGACATATGTTTGGTTGGCTGTATCTGTAGAAAGTTGATCAGCCACTTCAGCTTTTCTTCCACAGTGGCAGCCAATACATGTATGAAATGTCTAGCCATGCTGGCACAGGGATTCTAGGAGTTTGGTCCAAGAAAGTCACATTTCCAATTCTGGAAGTGTCACGGTTCCCACAGCACACAGCCACTGCCTGGCAGTGTTGGCCAAGCAGCGTGGAATGCTCACATGGTTGCACGATTCCTTTCCATCTTTTTTTTCTTCTGCAACTGTAGAAGCTTCTGTTGCTTTCAAAGAATTCTTTCTAAACTGCATAATATCACCCAAACACATTCACCTCGTGAACACTTGGACCCCGGTTATTCTTTGCTTTTGTCGAGTTTCAAGCATCTGTTAAAAACAGCAGTTTCACTGAGGCAAAATATTTCTGGGGAGGGGGAGGATGTAGATTGTATGAATATTTGTCTTTTTGAATTGTACATAGTACTATAGGTTCCCAATTATGGCCACTGCCTTGGATTCATTCTTTTGACCCAACAGTTGTTTTATCCTTCTTTCATACACAGTAGCAGAGTTGTAACGAGCATTTTTGGCACCTAGGATAAGTGGCATTGTCTCCCACCTATCCTGCTGAAAGGTATAGGCCACCGGTGAGAAAAAGGAGAAGTGAATGTGGTACCATCCAAAAAGAAAAATAATTTCTATGCTTTTTTAAAAAAGAGAGCCTATAGGACTGGAAGATATTGCTGTGTATGTTTTTAACATTCACAGTTGATTTACCTCTTGATTCTGGTGCCCTCTAAATTTTGCAGCAAAGCCCTGGTTAGTAATATGGGTAATTGCAATCAGTGACCCCTCTTCATGGAAGGCTGCCTTGTTGTGGAAAAGGGGCTTGAGTAATTCAGAGACGCTATGGGCTATGCCATGCAGGAACACCCAAGAAGGACAGGTCATAGTGGAGAGTTCGGACTAAATGCAACCTACTTTGAGCAGGAACTGGCAAGCCACTTCAGTATCTTTGCCAAGAAAACCCCATGAACAGAAACAAAAGGATAAAAGATATGACGCTGGAAGATGGGATCCCCAGGTCGGAAGGTGTCCAACATGCTACTGAGGAAGAACGGAGGACAAGTACAAATAGCTCCAGAGCTAATGAAGTGGTTGGGCCAAAGCTGAAAGGACGATCAGCTGTGGACGCGCCTGGAAGTGAAAGGGAAGTTTGATGCTGCAAAGAAAAATACTGCATAGGAACCTGGAATGTAAGATCTATGAACCTTGGGAAGCTGGATGTAGTAAAAAAGAATAAACATTAACATCCTGGGCATCAGTAAACTAAAAAGGAGGGGAATGGGGGAATTGAATTCAGATGATTACCACTTCTACTTTTCTGGCAAGAATCCTGTAGAAGAAATGGAGTAGCCCTCATAGTCAACAAAAGAGTGGGAAAAGCTGTACTGGGATACAATCTCAAAAATGATAGAATGATTTCAATACGAATCCAAGGCAGACCTTCCCACATCACAGTAATCCAAGTTTATGCACCAACTTAACGACTAAACAGCAACAAATCAGTGATCATAGTGGTATAGATGAGACGATATGATGATATCACAGAATAAATGCAAATCATGGTGTTGCTTCCTCCTGGATTAATCATGGTGGTAGTCTTGTACCACAGACAGAATAATGTCACCAATGTTGTAGGCTGTGTCACTTAGGGGAAGTGAAGTGGTCTGAAAATGAAAGCAAATGAGAGGCTAGAGGGACATTTCTCTCAAGAGTTCTGAAAACTGTTAGAAAATGAAGTGTTTTTCAGTAATGCTCACAACATTCGTAGATGGAATACAAAATAGACATTAGACACATTTCTCACCTGACCTTGAACATGTCTTTTGTCCCTACTTGGAGATTATCTGATTGGGTGGGAAAATGTTGTGCATGGCCTTACTTGACCAGTAGTTTCACTTCCTGTGCTGTTCCCCGTAAAAGTCACTGAGGCTGAAATGAATGAGACATTGATGACTGAATATTTAGAATACATGCAACAACTCTTTGCAAACGTGGCCAGAATAGCCCCTTTCACTCTGTGCAGCTATTGCAGAAAGGTTTAATTCACAGTTCAGTGGTACTACCTGTAGCATCAAGAATTAATGAGCATGAGTCAAAGAACAGAAGCAGGGCCCTGAAGCCAACTTTCCCCCCACATCCTTGCCAAGGGCTTTGGGAGAACACATATGGACCTCCGTTCGTTTCCCTGGGCACCAAAACAAAGCATAAGAGTCAACTATGAAGCCAATAAGCTTTCCATCGCACTCCTTTATTTACCTTTTCCATTATTTCCTTCCACTCCCAGGTGAAAGAATGGAGCTTGTCTGAAAGGTTGACCTACAAGGGTGTGGCAAGAAAGTGAACATGAAGCATTGTTGAATAGTTAGTCACTTTTAATGAATTCTGGGGGAGGCTATGAATCATGTATATGTGTGTGTGTGTGTTTTAAAAAAATATAAAATCCTTAAATTCCTAATTTGGTATGCATCTGTTCTGTTTATACATCAAGGGATTAATAGAACCCTCAAACAAACATGCCTCTAGCATGCACTTTACATTCACTTTACCATGTATGTATGTATGTATGTATGTATGTATGTATGTATGTATGTATGTATGTATGTATGTATGTATGTATGTATGTATGTATGTGTGCGTGCGTGCGTGCGTGCGTGCGTGTGTGTGTGTGTGTGTGTATAGTAAGAGAGGAAGAAGGAGAATGTACTTAGGTGTTTCTACTGAAGCGAAAACAAGTACACAATCGTTTTCAG